ACTGTCATACCGCTTGATAAGCTTCAAAAAGCCCTCAGGAAAAAATCAGGCTTTGCATTTGGAAGAAGCGTTGCAGGGCTTGTTTCACTTCAGTATTGTCCAAAGCGCCTTGCCCGAGATTTTCTTCAAAGCCGGAAACGATGGAAGTCGCTGGTTGCGATCAGGACGGTATGGCGGATGGTGTAGGGCTCCCAACCAAGAGTTGCAATATGGTTTTGCATTGCCGTCGCCGAATGTGGTCTGGCATTGTCATCCAACAGCAGAACGCCAGATGTTAGTGGAGGTCAATTGTCAGGGCACTCATCGTGCTAACACTTTTCTGTATCGAAGAAGTCGTGGATGATGTTTTGAGCTCGCTCATGTGAGATTCCAAGTTCTTCCGCTACTTCATCGATGATGATACGCCGGTTCGCTCTAATCATGTCATCCACCTTCCTGACATTTGCATCTGTAGTGGCCGTGCGCGTCCGTCCAGCTCTCGGTATTCTCACTTGCTGACGTCCATCGCTGAATGCAACCAGTCCGCCCATTTGCTTCGACACACACCCTGGCCCTAGCCTTCCACGAGGCGGTTATGAATTTCGTTCTGATACTCCACGTGCCCATTCATGCGGATAAATCGGGGGAAGGCGCTTTGGAGCATACTGAAGTGAAACAAGCCGTTCAACGCTTCTTCCATACGAAGCCCTGATTTTTTCTGGAGGTTTTTTAAGCTTATCAAGCGATGACAAAGGTCTCAAATGTACTTGTACCTATGTGGAAAAATAAAGGTATGTCATATCTTTAATGTCTCATTCTATTTTTTGACTTTCATACACAACTCTGACCACAGTGGACAGGGGAAACTTATTTTTCAACTTACCTACGTATTTAAGTTGCACTGCTTAAATAATCTAATTTCCTTATTAAGAGATTTTATTAAACAAAAATATTTCTTAGTTTAGGTTAGGTTATTTAAATATGGCAAAATGCACAAGGGCAGTCTACTTAAGAGAAGGGATGCCTTTGTGGAGGATTTGTTAAGGGAAATCGGTTCATACTCTCGTTACATATTAAGAAAACCATGAAATCCATCCATGCAAAATTATCTGACTTGAGAGATTAACGGAATATAATTATGGTACTAAATTTTTAAAAAGCTACATTGTAATATCGTAACATCTTAGCTAAAATAGATTTCCTTGTAAGCTAGTGTGAACTAGCTTACAAAGAACTAGAAGAACTGTGTAGCGATTTATAAGTAATAAGTCCGAAGAAGAATTAAATTACTCTTTATTCCAACTCAAAATAAATTCACAGATGGGCCCTTCTCGAGCGTACACTTGGGCTTTGACTAAAAATAGAAAATATAAAACTAAACTAATACTAAATAAAATTAACCAGCCGAAGCTGCACAGAATAAACTAACAGAGTTGGCCCTTATTTAAAGATCACCGACGTATACTAGTAGGCACGTAAAAGTACGTCCGTAAAACAGTAAGCTTAGACTAGTAGCAACAATGTGGCCGAAAGGAGTATCAAGAACAGAAATTCATAACCGCCTCGTGAAAGTCTATGGGCCAGGTGTGATGTCGAAGCAAATGGTGCGGAGATGGTGTTGCACATTCAGCGATAGACGTCAGCAAGTGGAGGACATACCGGGAGCTGGACGGACGCGCACGGGCCACAGATGCAAATGTCAGGAAGGTGGATGACATGATTAGAGCGAACCGGCGTATCACCTCGAGAATAGCGGAAGACTTGAATCTCACATGAGCGATCTCAAAACATCATCCACGACATTCTTCGATACAGAAAAGTGTCAGCACGATGGGTGCTCTGACAATTGACCTCCACTAACATCTGGCGTTCTGCTGTTGGATGACAATGCCAGACCACATTCGGCGACGGCAACGCAAAACCATATTGCAACTCTTGGTTAGGAGCGCCTACACCATCCGCCATACAGTCCTGATCTCGCACGCTGTCCTATTGGCTTAAATAATGGTTTCTACCTCATTTGCATAAATCGTAATCCTGAAAACTCAGCCTGGCATGGAAACGTGGGTGGAAATTTAGAATGTATAATAAAGGCTTGCTCAAAAAATAAAAATAACTATTAAAGTAAACCTTAAAACATTTATTAATAAAGTAAACCTTAAAACATTTATTAATAAAGTAAACCTTAAAACATTTATTATTTAAGCAATACCATTTTAAAAATAAGGAAATTACATTTTATGGGTTCTTATATATTAAGGCGGTTGCATTACCCTTCATGGCTGACGTACCATGAAGGTAATGCAACCGGCCGCAGGATAGTATCAATATATCGTTGAGCTGTTAAAGATGTACGGAGGGTGACTAAATTAAGTTAAAATCTCACTTGTAGCAAGAGTGTAAATCAATATTAATTCGTGTCCAGTTACTACGTCCAGTAATTATCCTACGTCTTACGTCCAGTCCGGATTCGTATCCAGTAATGTGTGTAGCACTTAACTTCATTTTATAAAGAAATTGAACAGAAAACTTTAATGTAATAGAATTTAACTCATCTTTTACCCGATCGTTTCTGCGGTAGACACAGACGATTGTTTCATTTATGTCGTACGTAGCTTTTTGTTTCAAACTCAAAAGTAAAGTTATTTAATTTTTACAACTAATATGAAAATTGTTTTGTTTGCGTAAAGCAAGGCCAATGAGCTTTGTCGAAATTAGCTTCCTTAAATACACTCTTTTTCAAAAAAATCGAAGCACTATGAAAGAAGTGGTTGTTTTCGATAAAATTGAATATGTGTATAACTCATACACAGATAATAAAATGATTAAAAAATCAAGGTCATAGTACCTGTGTGAGCCCTGAGCTCACAATCACCCACTGAGTGTTCCAATTAGTAGTTGGTTGAACCGCCCCTGGCGGTAATGCATGCTTGAATTCCTGAAAGCAAGGAGTGGTAGAGGTTCCTAATGTCATCTTGCGACACATTGTGCCAGGCATTCATCAGTTGTTGCTTCAAATCTGCGATATTTTGTGGTGCCCGAATCTGGCGGCCTACCATGCCCCAGACATTCTCGATTGGTGAAAGGTCTGGTGAACTGGCTGATCAAGGAAGAGTATCAACCTCACGGAGACAGTCCAGAGATATGAGAGCGCTATTTGATCTGGTATTATCTTGTTGGAAAATGGCCCCCTGATGACGTGCCATGTTTTATGTGTGCAATTTTAATCGATTAAAGCTTCATTTGAGCTTCTCTTATAACAAAGGGTAATGGAACCGGCCACAGGATTGTATCAATATATCGTTGAGGTGTTAAAGATGTACGGAGAGTGACTAAAGATGACCTACTGTCATAAGAAATAGCGCTTCACAGCACCACACCAGGGGTTATGGCTGTATTCCTTTGTAAAACAAAGGCTGATTGGGATCGCTGGCCCCGTCCTCTCCAGACATAAACATGGTGGTCATCTGCTTCAAGAGTAATGCGGGATTCATCGCTGAACACACTATACGATGCCAGTCTGATGACATCCATGATGATCAGCTGCGACACCACTCCAGACGACTCCGCCGATGTTATGGGGTCAAAGGCAAACCTCTTAGAGGCCTCTGTGAGCGTAACCAAGTCCAACTAGATATCTAGTTGACCTTGGGGTAATCCTGCCTCAGGCAAGCGCCGTGAGATGGTGGAGCCATGGGAGGTATAGACGTGGCTGTAGTGCATTGAATAGTCGAAAATGGTACCGTTGGGGCGGTTCGAGCTTGGTGAACAATCATTCTATCTTGCCTCGCACTTGTGCTCCTTGGCCTTCCAGAGCGGCCTATTGCTCGGTATGACCACCCAGCTTCACGCAACCACGCAACTCTACAATGCGACCACGTTCGAAGTCGTTTAGTTGTCTGTAAGGTCTTTAATATCGTCGTAATTGCATTTTTAGTTGCTTCTTTACGGATTTACAATGGCAGCAACAAAAAAAGTTAAATTTCCCGCCTGTGTTATTCTTTGCGAATTGCGCACGAGAAATGCGCGCTATGATCGCAATTCCGGTTCATTTACCTTGAAACTTTGATCAATTGCATGTTGGATCAAGATGTTTTTGCCTACCAAATTTCTTCATAATCGCAAAAGTCCGTCTTGGTGCTTCGATTTTTTTGCAAAAGAGTGTACTTTTAACACATGCGAAACATTAATCGGAAAGGAAAATGTTAAGTCAAATAACCGGTCGTGTCTCAATACAGTAATCCGAGTTAATAGATAGTAATTCCGCAAACAACTTTCGCAGCTGAAGGTTCAAATCTGAACGAAAGTTTACAGAAATATAAGTCTATATTTATCCTTTTCGGTTTTTTCGCTCCATACGGCGCCCAGCTCTTCTTTATGCAGCACCGATCTGGGGACATGCAGCTAAAACCAATATTAAACAATTACAAATTCTACAAAATAAAATTCTACGAGAAATTATCAGTGCTCCTTGGTATATTCCCAACATCTATATTCACAGAGACCTTCGAATCGAACTTATTCAAGAGTATATTAAACGATTAGCGGTCAACTTCTTTTATTCACTACAAACCCACAATAATAGCCTTATTAGCACTCTCAGACACTCCCCGCGTCCCAGAGAAAAACATCGTTACCCTTGTGACGTCCTTCCCTCCCACATAAGAATTACAACCGTAATTGACTCCTTCACGCCAAACTGACTCTGACCCGCGGCTACATCTTATAACGCACACTGAACGTGACACCCCCCTTTTTTCGCCGCCGCTAGTGCGGACCTCACTCTCTTTCATCCGCCTCCCACACTCCTTTCATCCTTTTCTTTTTCTTCCCACCCGATGCTTATCAGAAGTCGAGTAAAAAGATGTTTCTACATCTTGACACTCGAGAATAAAATACGATCTGTGTCAAGGAAGTTAGAATAGATATTCTAACTATTCTAACCTCCTTGATTTGTGTGTGTGTGTGCTATTAATTTCGGAAGAAACAGCGCAGAAACAACTCAATGAAACATTCGTCTGCGCGACGCTTGAAGTATGTTTCATTATCCAAATTTTCCGGAAATGAACGTGCGTTAAAGGTCTTAGAAGAAGAAGGGAGCTTTCCTAAATTTTGTCTGCTTTCATGAGTAATTTTGTTTATTAAGTTTATTTATATGAGTTTTTGAGATACTGTTTTTTCTGATGAATATTTCACTTATTTCTTATTTGTCGCAATTTGAATAAATAATGAATAGTGTGAATAGTGTAGTAGTCGTTTCCGGCTTTCAAAAATGATTTTTAGGTCTATAAAAGAAACAAAATTCTGTGTTTTAGTTATGTGAATATCTGTTTAATCATCTGTTATTAGATCTTTGATAAATCTTACTTTATGGATATTATTTTAATATAATTATTGATATGGATATTATTGTAATTGTATAACTTTCAAATGTATGAAAAAGGAAATTTTTCTCATGTGAAATATTGCATTACAATCCGATACTAAATAGATGTAATTAGATTTTGGGAAAATTTTTAAGGAACTTGTTGTTTAGAGCAAGTGGGAAGTTATTATATGTGTTATAAAAACTGCGGCAAGTGTGTTAGTTATTTTAGTACAGCAGGGGGAGAGTAAATTTAAAGTTATTACATTTAGTGCAAAAGCAAAGCACGTAAAATTGCAAATGAAGAAACAAAAGTTATCATAATTTTTTTTTTTTTTTTTTTTGTTTTTCCCGCTTGCATCCTCCCCATATTCCAGAACTTTTAAAATTACTTCATTCATATGTATATATAAATAAATATATATAATTAAAGAAAGGAGAACAAACTAAAAAGAGACCTTTGTGGTCAAGAATTTTGTGCATTGAACTGCAAAAATTAGAAAACAAGGTAAAAAGAAAATTCTTCTTCCGCTTAAAAGTGGCTGTGATACTGTGATTCCAGTGAAAATTTTTTTAACATAAATAAAGTGCAATGAAAAGTGTAAATATAAAATAAACCAAATTATCACTAGAATACTTACAAATAAAAAGCGTATTTAAAACTCAAATCTAATTGGAAGTAATATGTTGATTAAAGTTAAGACGAGCTTTAAACATTTGAATAAAATACATAGTGATTAAGACTTAAGCAAAAATATATATATATATATATATATATATATATAATTTCTTATATATATATATCTATCTATTATATAATATATATATATATATATATATATATATATATATATATATATATAAAGCTTTAAATTAAGTTTTTTTATCCTGAAATACCATGTAAAAGATTATTATTGTAATTATTATTAAAATGTATGTAGTCAGTATCATGAAACAAAGGAATTTAATATTTAATATTGCACTTGTTGTATTTGAATTTTTGTATGTATATAATAAATTACTGTATATTTAAAATATAAATTTCTGGATTAACTTTAAATCTTCCGGTAAAAGTATAGTTTAGGGTACCCCTTGGCAAAACTCGGCGATTTTTGGAAGTACATGGATACCGATTTGTGCAATTCTTTGACTCGTTATTTTGGCTTGCAAAGCTGCGTTTTTTTAGCCAAAAATCGCCGCTACACAAAGCCAAAATAACAAGACAAACAATTGCACATTGCACAAACTCGGTATCCATGTACACATTGACTTATTTTCACTGAAAAAAAAAAATCCTCAAATTGCGCAAAAATGGCATAGCACACTCCTTTGATTTAATCCATGTACACGTCGACCTATTTTCACTTTAAAAAAAATCTGCGAATTGCACAAAAATGGCATTGCACACTCTTTTAACTTTATCCATGTACACGTCGACCTATTTTCACTTTAAAATATCCCAGAATAGCACAAACCTGCATTGTGTACTGCCTTTACTTTGTCCATGTACACATCGATATATTTTCACTTAAAAAAGTCAAAGCACCAAATTCTGTAATATAGGCAAACAAAAGTATGCATAATCTCAATTAAATATATTTTAAACCAAACAATAAAATAACATAAAAAAGAAAACATGTTATATAGGGTTGGCAACTAAGTAATTGCGGATTTCACTCATAAATGGCTTCAGTTGAATTTTTAGGGTTGCAGACGTAGTACAGATGTAAAACACATTTTGTTATTTGATAGTTTGCAATTCAGCTGTCAATCAGTAAAAAAAGTTTTTTGATCTGTTGCGTAGTTTTCGTTTGGCTTTCTTTGAAAAATTTAAAATCAAAAGGAACATTTTCGTCATATTTTGCTTTTTTATTTCCGCAAAGGGAAAAACGCATCGCAAGCTCATAAAAGTTATGTTGCTGTTATGATTACGAAGAACGGCAGTGTCAAAATTAGTTTGCCAAATTTCGATCTGGTGATTTTTCACTCAAAGTTGAAAAACGCTCTGGTCCTCCAGTTGAAGTTGATGACGACCTAATCAAAGCAATAATCGATTTGGATTGCCACAGTACAACACGTGAGATTGCAGAGAAGCTTCATGTATCCCATATATCCATTGAAAATCACTTAAAACAACTTGACTATGTTCAAAAACTCAATACACGGGTTCCTCACAAAATGAAGGAAACGCATTTAATGCAAGCAACGCATTAACAGCTGCGATTTGCTAAATAAACGTAATGAAAATGATCCATTTTTAAAACGACTGATAACTGTCGATGAAAAATGGCTTGTTTACAACAATATCAAGTGGAAAAGATCGTGAGCAGGCCAGGTGAACCAACTCAAACAACATCAAAAAGAGTTTTGTTATCAGTTTGGTGGGATTACAAAGGATTTGTCTACTTGAACTCTTAACACCCAACAGAACGATCAATTCTGATGTCTACATTGAACACTAACGAAATTAAACAATGCAGTAAGAAAGCGGCCCGAATGACAAATGAAAAGGTGGTTATTCCATCATGACAAGCAAGGCCACACACATCATTTGGTCCTCGGCAAAATTATTGGAGCTTGGTTGGGATGTGTTCCACATCCACCATATAGTCCTAACCTTGCACCATCTGATTATTTTTTGTTTTGATCTTTACAAAACTCCTTGAATGGTAAAAATTTCAAAATGAATGATGATTCAAAATCGTATCTGATTCAGTTTTTGATATAAAAACCAGAAGTTTTATGAACTTGATTATGATGCTGCCTGAAGATGGCAAAGGTCATGATCAAAATGGGCAATAAATTACAGAATAAAGTTATTTATTTTCCATGAAAAAATTGTCTTTGATTTTCTAAAAAAAATCCGCAATTATTAGTTACCAACCCAATACATTTAAGCACTACGAGAAGCAAATATTCACTTACCATGATTTTCGAGTTCGCTTCGTACACCCAGAGCCACGTAGAAATCAAAATATCAATCAGACTCAAATGACTCTGGTACTCTTTCTGATCGAACGCTTCACGTGATGACCATCTGAACCTTTCTTCCTACAAATCCATCTAAACGGTTTTTTATGTTCGACTAGACGCATATCCTTCCTACATACAGGACACTTATAATGGCTACTAAGTAAACCTTCATTTACATACCAGTCAATTTAAGCTCTTTTCCCCTTTCGCTCCAAATCATTCATAAACTTCAAATTAATCTTACTACATTCAGCCATTCTACTGTCTAAAGAATAAAACCAACACACACCACAAAACGCTTACAAAACATCCCATGATTCAAAAGTTTCCAGAATCATGCACCCGATTGTGTCACAATAGGGTTTCTATAACATTCAACTACTCAGGCTACCACAACAACTTGGCGATAATTATCCTTTGGGGGCTCCAGCTTTGGAAATTCTATTTGATATAATCGAAAGTTCAAGCTTACTTTTATAAAATTGCTCTAACAGTCTGCAAAAAATAATAAGCCAGATCCAATTCGAAGATTAAGGAACAATGCAATCAGCAACATTAACTGAAATAGATAATTAGGTAATTTTAGCTTATGCTGTCCATTATACATTAAATATGCATGCGTAAACGTATTATGCGCATGCACACACACATATGCACAGACGTAAAGGTCTTGGGCACATGCGTAAATGCCTATGCGCATGCGTCAACGCGACGCATGCACAGGAAGTTTGTAGCTTTGAGGTCCGGATTCTAGATCATTCTGGATTATGGGTGTCCGAATTAACGACTTTTGACTGTATTGAGTTTAATAAACATAGAGTTTAGTAAGCGGCAGGCACTGTAATAAGCTAACTCATTATTAGGTTTTAATCAAATAATAAGTGTACACTGTGTGCAATATGTGACAATAGAAGCATCATTTATTAATTACAGTCATGCTGATGTAAATGTTTGAAAATTGTTAATTAGGTACACTTAAATCACACGAGATAGTTGTATTATAAATTATATCAAATAAAGATATAAATTACTGAGAAGCATATACTATATTGCTTTTAAATTGCTTAGTTAATTAAGCATTATCTTATTATGATTTCAAAGATAAGCTATTGAATATCAAATGGCAATACTTTCAAGAACTATGCTATGCAGCATAGATGATAAATGGATAATCTTATGCTTTAAACGGTAACAAAACATGCCAGAGAGCTTAAGTTCTAAAATTAGAAGTGCTGGAGCTCCATGAGGCTGCTGAGCGATCAGAATTGGTAAACAAAAATAAATTAAGTAAAATAGTAAATAACATATAATCAGAATTAAGTAAAATACAAAGAACATATTAATAACTAAATTCAAATATCCGATGGATATAAAACTTCTCCTACCTAAAGGGTTCATAATTCAGTATGAGAGTTTTCTTTAACTATATAAATTTTTCTCTTCGCAGGCAAGGTGAGACATACACTGGTGTGCAAAAATTAAGGACGAGATGGTTTTTTCAATATAACTTTGTACAAAAGCTTTCCAAATCCATGCATTTAATACCATAAGATCTCCAATACGTAAAGGACATGAGTAATGTAAGCAACACTTACTAAAAGAGAAATCAGAGGGCTAAAAAGAAGCTTTATTGAAAAAGTAGCATGGAGCGCAATGTGACTGAAGGCCGAAACATCACTGTGATGGGTGTCCGGCAAGAAACATCCAGCCTTTAATAGGCGATATGATCTCCCCTTACTGCTAGGCAGGTTTCACAGCATCTGCCCATGCTGAGAATGAGGGTATCAATGAGTTGTTGAGGCATTGCTGCCCATTCGTCTTGCAGCGCCAATTGAAGCTCCGGAATCGTTACTGGTGGTAAGGTACGAGATGCCAAGCGTCTGCCTATAAAATCCCATACATGCTCGATGGGATTGAGATCCGGAGATCGTGCCGGCCAATCCATACGTTCAATAGCCTCATTCTCTAAGGGCTGTTCGGCAGCTACTGTGCGATGACATGGTGCATAGTCGTTAGCGAAAGTAACTGCGGACCCATAGCGCCTCTAAAAAGATGCACATATGGAAGAAGAATCTCATTACAATAATGGGTCCCGTTGACTGAACCTGCGTCGAAGATGTGAAGGTCTGCACGACTACCAAGCATGATGCCTTCCCAAACGAGAACACCGCCACCTCCATACCTGTCCCTTTCAATGATGTTCAAGGGATGATTGTGGCTTAACCGCTCTCTCCAGATGAGTATGCGATGAGAATCGCTACTCAAACTGAATCTGCTCTCATCTGTAAAGAGTACTCGTCCCCATTCATTGTCTCTCCAATTCCGGTGTTCCCGGCACCACAGAGAATGCCTTCTCCGATGGGCAGGCCTGGAGGTAACACCGTACAGGGCGTCGTGCAAACAGACCACCACCGTGTAGTCTTCTGCCCATGGTAAAACACGATATCGGTCGTCCAGTCGCCTGTGTCGTGTGTCTAGCGATTTCTCCCGCTGTCTGCCGCCTGTTTCTTCTGGCCTGTAAGGCAATATACCGGTCATCTGTGGGTGTGGTTCCTTGTGGACGACCACTACTAAACCTCCGGATAGCTGTTCCTGTAGTTTGAAATTGTCTCCAAAGTCGTGAAACGATGCTGTGAGCAATTCCAAACTCTGCAGCCACACTTGTCACACTGCGGCCTTCCTCCAACTTCCCAATGATTCGACCTTGGGTAAAAGCATTCAGATGTCGTCTAACAGATTGATTATTCGCCATTTCTCGCTGAGGCAGCAACTCGGTGTGATTTTAACTGCTATACTGCGTGCAATCTCTTTGCCAGAAATACTGATCTTACAACATGCTTTATACTACCTGCATATCTGCGCATGTGCTACCGTACATCACCTTACTTAATCTCCTGATTGGTCTTTCTGTCCGCTCTGCCTCTTCGTTCAGCTGATATGCTAATTTTTCGACTTCGTCCTTAATTTTTGCACACCAGTGCAAATTCTATATTTAGCCCAAATATAAATTTTATTAATTTCTAAAAAAATACTGTAGTAATATAAAATTTTCTGTTAATATTGCGATTTAATTAAACTAGAACGTACTAGAGCTTATCTTGCCAATGGTCTGGTGTTTTCTAGGTAGAATTACTAATTCTCTGAAAAATTGGCATATACTGTAGCTGTATCTAACAATGTTTATTTTTTAGGAATTTTATTTTTGTGTATGTAATGTGTTTGTTTATTTTAGGTAAACTAAATGAAAGTGTAAACAATGGTTTCATAATGAGTATTTCAAGACGTTACTTTCATCAAACACTCAAGAAGTACATTCCCATATTGACTTGGTTGCCTGGATATAGTTTACAAGATCTTAAAGGAGACTTCATTGCAGGTTTTACTGTTGGTCTAACAGTAGTTCCCCAAGGCTTAGCTCTTGCTCACTTAGCTAATCTGCCTCCACAGGTAATTTATTCAATATTCCCCCTGCTTTAAGTTTTCTGTTAGCTTGAGCATGCAGATATGATCAGAAATATTTTGCAATTAGAATGGAACAATCTTATATTTTAATATTACGTAAAATTTAGCCTGATTTAGTCATTAGTTCAAATAAATGCTCTGTTTACTTTAAAGACCATCTATGTGGGTTTGTTTTGTTCAAGGAGCAATAAATTTTGTATGTGTGTAGAAAATGTAAAGTATGTCAGTTGTATCTCCTAAAATCTGCTTGACATACTGCAACAATTAATGAACAATTTTAATTGGGGTAAAATAACCGACAATTCATAAAGATTTTTAGGCACTCTCAGAAACTTATGATTGAAGGCATTAAATACTGTAGTAATTTAGTTAACAAATTTTGATATGTGAGAACGACTCCAGGGAAATTTAATTGAAGAATTGTTTTATGTCATTTTGGGAGAAGAAACAAATTTAAGAATGATAGAGGGACCAACAATTGCTACCAATAGAAACTTTTGAAATCCTTTTTTTTACCATTCAGTTTTATGCAAATTAAAGCGAAGTCCAAATCAAAACTTATTAGGTGACCCCCTATACTAAACTTTCATGTCCTATAGGAAAAGGAGATGTTATAATGAGTGTTTATTATACTGAAGGTATAGTTAACCTATTGTCCATCACATTTTGTTACCAGTGCTCCTTATACATAAGATTCAACAATTTATTATAGTTTAGAACATGAGTTCTAGACTATAATAATTTGTTAAACCAGGAGGAAAGTGATCAGCATTTTATTTAGCTGTTAAATGTTTAGTATTAGTTTATGAATATAAAAAACTGATTTTATTCATGTTTTGGTATTTATTAACATTTTCTATACTTTTTGTTGTTTAATTTATAAGAGCTATTAAAGAAATCTAAATAAATGTATATATGTATTTTTCAGTTTTAGAAAGGAGGGGGATCTTCTTCTAGCCGTGATGAATGGGGTACATAAGGTAAAACTGGTTGAGAACCACTCATCTAGATCATTCATTTCCTTAACCATTAAAAAAAAAAAAAAAAAAAAAAAAAAAAAAAAAATGCTAAGTGCTGATATTATTCCTCATTCCCCTCCTCATCAACCTCAGTGATGTCAGACTTTCAAATGGCAGCATCAATAGTTTTCAGAAAGAAACCTTCCTATGCCTCTCAGCCTCAAGTGGTTAAGACTGCTGACTACTGGGAGCTTGACCTGGGTTTGATTCCAGGGCTCGCTGCATGGTTGTTTTTTGAATTTTTTCTTCTGTGTAACATAAATATGAGCCAGTTTCTTTTCGAAAGCTCTTCACAAAAGTATCTCTCCTTTTAGGCAGATACTTGTCTGTTTTGCCATATCCAGTAGCCATAATCTCATGATGCCTATGAAAATTCTGAGAAAATGATGCACATTTGCTAATGGATAGAATAAAGAAGCAATATTTTCTACATGAAACTCCTACAGTAACAACAAATTTTCCATTATTGAGATTGAGAAAAATTTAAATTTCCACTCCAGAGGATTTTGAATTTCTGCACAAAAAATCACTAAACAGAATTATTAATAAAGAAAGCAGTCTTTTCATCAGTTTTTGTTGGTTAATATTTTGGGTGGAAGGAGAGTAGCATTTATTTAGGGAGCTGCAAGTGAACTTCCCTGAGCCTCTTTTGTTACGCACATGAGGCTAGATTAATTTGTGATTATAGTGGGATTAGTTTGATTGTTTTTAATAGGAAAAATTTGATTATTGTGAACCAACTGCATGAAACTTATGCTGCTTGAAGAAGACTCTGTACCTTTCATGTTTAATGAGTTTTTCTGTAAATTAAGCAGTGTTACCTAAAATATGATTTTAATCTAATTTTACATTATAGTTTGATTTTTGTTTTTTAAAGCTGAAGCTAGTGTACACAGGGAAACAAATTAGAATTTTATTTTAGTGAAATAAAGTCTGTCAACAGTAGTAGCTTAATTTAATTACTAAGGAAGAGATTTTTATGAAAAATAAAAATTAAAGGTATGAAAATTATAAGAGAGAAAACAAATTTTTTTAATGGAGTGAGATTTGACATGAGGAGTAAATTGAACAAAAAAGCAATTTCTGCCAGAAGTGTAGTACTGAAAGTTATTGTGTGTTATTAAAATTTCTGAAAGTGAGACATAAGAATTCTAGTAACAGACAATACGAAAGATTAAGAATTAACAAAAAAATATTTGTAGGCTTTTTTTTTTTTTTTTTTTTTTTTTTTTTTTAAAGCCCAAAGGGCTTTAGCCCAGAAGGGCTATTAATTTCTTCTTGGCATTTTGTTTTGATTCACTATAAATGGCTAATTATTTTTTAAACTGTTGCCACCAAATATTAGAGCCCTGTATTACATTTAAAGGAATTAAATAATGAGGAATCTGTATGAATGTATGCATGTTCCTCGCATTGCGGCCCACCAGCGGCCGAGCGGTAAAGTTGCTGAACACTGGTAGTTCGGTTCGAGGTTCGAATCCCGCGAACGGGCTGGCTGCATGGGTGTTTTCGTGGTTTTCCCCATGTGTAACGTGTATACGAGCCAGTTTCCCTTAGAAAGTCCTCCACGAAGGCATTCCTCCCCTTAGGCAGATAGCCTTAGTGTGCTTTGCCATAATTAAATACACACACACACACCGTTCCTCGCATTGCGATAAAACAACGGTACCTAGAGCAATCAAATTTTGAATAATGTACATATCCATCCGAATATGGCCATCCAGAAGCCCAAATTTGGAACTTGTTTTATTATCTATTCCATATTTTGTAAAACATTTATGAATTTTTGAGTAAGAAACTCAACAATTTCAATGGCAACACTATACAAGCAATGGCAACACTATACGGGGGGGGGACTAAAATTGTATCTTCAGTGTGCAAGACTGTGTATGGAAATTCTAAAGATATGCTCATTTTAAAATTATCTTGTGATATTGCTGTTGAATTGTATTTTATGGTTTAAGTGCAAAGAACATGATGTTTAATAAATAAAGGTAACACAAAACATTATCTGAAAGCTTTCAGATTTTTTTTTTATTATTATTAAAATTATTGCATGTCAAAACCCTTCTCTTCTCTGCTCCCCAGGTTTGAGGCAAAGACTTCAGCTGACTATTTGGCTGAAGGATATGAAGCAATTTGGAAACAATAAAGTGAAATGAAAGGTAGGTTTTGGGAATTTTGTAAAGGCATGAAATGTTGCACAATCAGTAATAGGAAGAAATAGTACTTTTATCAGTTGGAAGAATATGATATGGTTTAATCCTTTGAGTGATATGACCGCTTTTATGTGATCGTGATATTTTTTATCATTCAATAAATTTTGTGTGTTATTTGTTTGTTTTCTTATTTTCTTTAGTGTTCTTTATATCACCTTTATATATGGAAGATTATGAGAATAAAGAGTAAAATAAGTAATTATACAAATGTGACTAATAAATGTTGCTTCCCCAAAGCTCTTCATGAGCAGATCCAAAATGCCATGTCACTCAGAGGGTAATACTGTGTTTAAATTGGAAAAAATTATTTTCTGTTGAAAAGTCACTGAAAGAAGTTTTTCAATTAAAAAAAAAAAAAAATCTGAAAGCTTTCAGATTTTATATTATGCGAAAAGGAGCATTTTAAAATGTTTTTGTGTTAATTTTACTTATTAAATATCATGTTCTTCGCACTTAAACCATGAAATTCAATTCAACAGCAATATCGCAAAATATTTAAAAACAGCATATCTTATCTTTACAATTTCCGATAAACAGTCTCGTGTGCTGGAGATAAAAATGCCCCCCCCCTCCTCTGTACAGAGTTGCCATTGCTTGCTTTGAAATCATTGAGTTTGTTAATAAAAAATTCTTTAATGTCTGACAAAATATGAAATAGATAGTTAAAAAAATTCCAAGTTTGAGTTTCCAGATAGATGCCCATATTCGAATGGAGGTCTATGTTATTCAAAATTTGATGTCTCTAGGTATCTTTAATTTTTCACAGTGTGAGAAACATACATATATTCAGACAGATTCTTTATTATTTAATATCCTTAAATATAATGCAGGGCTCTAATATTTGGTGGCAACAATTTGAAAGTGAACCAGTATTTATAGTAAAACGATGCAAAATGCCAAAACAAAATTTAATAGCCCTTCTGGGCAAGTTGCCCCTTTGGGCTAAAAAAAATTGTGGTGCCTGTTAGTTATCTGGTGCCCACTGGTACATTGCCAAAAATACCACATGGTTCTTGTGCGTATTTGACAATCCAGAGTGACATTTTATAGAAGGCTGAATCTGTAATGAAAGAATCTTGACCTTGGAATCAAACCCAGGTCAAGCTCCCATTATTTTTTTGTAAAGAGGATATTTTTATTTACTTTGTTACTGATTTCTTTCTCAAATGGACAATCAAATTTTTTATTATCATTTTAAATTTATACAGAGGCTGTTCAGACATTTTTTAGACGATTTTGGTAAGCCGTAATAAAACATCATTGCAAAAGAAGTAATTGCAATTGTACTATGTTTTTAAAAGTCAAAATTATCGTCTGTGGCTTGAAAGTTTTGTTTTTATTCAAAATGGCGAATTTAACAAAGCAGTGGTTCGAAGGCTACATTTACGCTCTTTCCGAAGAGAAATATGCATACTCCGTTATCCAAAAACGATGTGAGAGTCATGATTTTGTGATATCTAAAGCGTCAACAGGTAATATCATCAACAAGAAAGGAAAAAAAAAATGTCAAATTGGAGCCTCAAGTGGGACAAAAATTCCAAACAAGTATCCAAGGAAAAATCGGACATCTTCAACTATTGCAAAGGTACGCTGTTTAATGTTAAAAGAAAATCCCCCTAATCAAAGGACAGTGGCAAAATCATTAAAATGCTCAGTGTCCACTGTAAACAAAATGATAAACGTTGATTTAAATCTTAAGAAAGTGAAAAAACGCAATGTGCATCGTCTTCTTCCAAACCATATCGCTCAATGCAGGACACGCTGCAGAATTCTATATGAGAAACACTTATTCAAAGAAAAATGGAAAACAATTGTCACAATAGATGAAGCATAGGTGTATTTAAGTGATTGTAACAAAAAAAGAGCCATTTATTATCATGAAAGGGGAGAAAAAAATTTAAGTACATGGTTCAAAGAATCGAAAGAAAGTTTTTCTAAGGGATTCACGATTGTTGCTGGTTTTTCCTATAATGGCAAGTTAAAAATAAAGAGAGTGCAAAAAAATGTCAAGATTAACTCCAAATACTATCAGGAACATATTTTATCGCCAATTTTTCTGAATGAAATACCATCGCTTTACCCACAGTGCCATCAATCTGTGAGACTCCATCAGGACAAAGCTAGCAGTCACACATCAAAATCCACTGTAAATTTCCTAAAAGAAATAGAGCAAAAAACTGGTATCAAGGCCATACCCTTCACTGATATCCCTACTAAATCTCCCGATGTGTCACCTATGGATTTTGTGCTTTCGGACTTTTTAAAACTGCATTATCCAAACGTTGTCCAAAACCCTAACAGGACTCTGGAAAGCTGTTCGGGAGGAATGGGATAGAATAGCTCTTCTGCCACTTCAAAAGGCATTATTATCCTGGAAATTGCGGTGTCGAAAGATAGTTCAGAATAAGGGATATCAAATAGAACATTTAAAACACAAGAATTTTATGTAATTGAATTTTGTGAATACAATATACATCGTCTAAAAAATATGTGAACAGCCTCTGTATATCAACTTCTATGCTGAGACTGGCTTTCATATACAAGTAATCAGCAAAATGGAGGGATCAGCAAAATGGAGAAATAAGTGGCATCATAACTCATCTTGACTTGTTACTTATCAGAGTTACATACAGTGGCAGAGACAAGTTGCACAGAGTAACAACCTGTTTGATGTCATTTTGAATTTATTTACCAAACAATATTTGTGGAAAAGAAATTCATCCTGAACAAGTGCCAATAGTTTGTTCTTAGTGTATCAGATAACCAGAAAATAATAGTGGATTTGGATTTATATGTTGGAGCTTTACCTCCTTAGTCATGATGAATATATTTTTAGCTTTTTAATTACTGTGAGTACGGCATGATTACTATTAATGTAAAGTTGTTGCCTAATTACATATGTGTTTTAACTGTTAATGTAAAACTGTTGTCTTATTCTTATTTCACAATAGCCTTATTTTTTATAGTATGGACTGTATACTGCTTTCATGGGAAGTTATATGTATTCTATATTTGGTACATGCAAAGATTTAGTAATAGGACCAACATCAGTAATGGCATTAATGACAGCAGAGTATGCAAGCATTGGAGGCCCTGTGTATGCTTCTCTTCTTACATTTTTTTGTGGGTGCTTCCAAATTCTACTTGGAATTCTTAATCTAGGTAATGTTATTTAAGAATTTTTCTAAACTCATCTAATTGAATTTGTTTCAAGTATTTAATGCTGTCACTATTACTTTTATTATTATTTAGTTCTATATTCAAAATAGTACAATGTTTCATTATTCATTTGAAGTAAATAACTGGTTCCAAACTTTGTAGCAAATGTCAGTTTTGATTAAAATACTGTTTATGCAAGATTTTAAAGGGTTAAAGATCTCAGTTTATTAAATAATAGTATGCACACTTATAACAAGAAGCTGGGCATTTAAAATAATTATAGAGCATATTTTATAATTTTTCTCAAAAAAATTTACATTTACTTTTACTAGATAGTTTAATTAAATTCCTTTTTCTGTTGTTCATTTTAGGCTGCTTAATGAATTATATATCATCACCAGTTCTAAGTGGATTCACATCTGCAGCTGCTATTATTACTGCTACAACTCAGATAAAGGTTATTTCAAATTTCAGTATTTAGTGCACTTTTTTAGTATATGTGTTTATTACTACATATACTAAAATGTATTAAACACAAATTTTAAATATCAACTGTCATTGATGTATGTTAGTTGCAGTTTTTTTTTTTTTTTTTTTAAGTATTGCATTGTTTAAAGAAACTGTTTCTTAATCTTGATTTTACAGTTAATATAGCTGGAGTAATTCCTGATCCTTAAATTTCCAATGTAGTTTTTAGTCACACATTTTTAAAACAAAAAATCACTTTCTCTAATTATAAAGAGTCGTGATGACATTTGAAACCGTTTACTTGTATGACTTGTTTTATTAATTTCAATTTTATTGTTAAAATAGCTCCTCCCTAATTTGTTTATTAAGTATTTGTAAAATAACATCAGTCTTGAATTTTATGTTTTACAAGAGATCTTTATTATTCATTAATTAGGCATTTTAAAATTTTACTTTTGTTTCAGTCAGAAACCTTGTTATTAAAATGTGAATATAGGATTTTTTTATATTAAAACAATTTAGAGGGGTATACCAGTTTATGCTTCATATTTATGGGACAAATTTTAGTTAACTAGAATAGTTTCTGGTCAATGTTTTTTACAGTAATTTTATCAACATGCATTATTCATACATTTAAACTTGACAATTGGGAAAATTATGGTTTTACAGCTCTTTTTTTAAACTTTACACAAAAGAATTTCAGATGCAGTTCATGTTAAATCTCAAACATCAGATTTTGAATGAGATGTACTGTCCAGTAAAGTATCAATTTCACCATTAAATGTCAACCAGTCCTAATTTATTCTAGTGTAAGCCTAGCATCTACAGTTGCAATTCAGTCATTATTATTAACTTTCCTTGAAGACTTCCTTTGATACAAAAGCTTATGTCAAGTACTTAAAGCAGTTTTTTTTTTTTTTTTTCAGAAATTATTTTACAAAGCTAAAATAAAGGGCTGAAACAAAGATAAATAGGCCATAAAAATAGGTGAATTATCAGACGCTGGACATGGATTTTTATACTTGCACTTGATTTACATACATATGCTGTCAGAATTTAAATGATATTGTATATTAGTTCGCAACAATAATTAATCATTTATTTGTTTGCATTAAATTTCATTTAATTATAACTTTAAAATTTTGTTTTTACGAATAGAGAATTTTTGTTATTCATATATAATATCTATATATATAATTCAGTAATTACAAATTTATGTTTTAGAAGTGCAAGAATAACCATGAAGTTAAAAAAAATTAATTATATTCTCAAAGAACTACTGGTCTACCATCCAAAGTCATTGTAATTTTAAAGGCTGATATTCTTTCATTCCTTACATAGGTTGGACATTCCAATTTTTTTTTTTTAAGTTGCACTTTAGTTGTTGAAAAATGTAAGTGAAGTTTAATTTAACATTTCATCTCAGTACTGACAAAATTTTATTTTTGTGAAGTAAGCAAAGTATCGTATAAAAAAGATTTAAAAAGTTTTATTGTGTTGTGTATGCCTACAGTAATGAAGACATAAATTTCTTATTTCAAAATTATTTATATAGTTTATGTTGCAACAGTATTTGAATATATCATCTGAATAAAATTTTTTTCATTTTACATATCTGTACTTATATGATATATTTCGCTGTTTGCATGCTATATTTATTAGTGCCTTATATGTTGTTTTCATAATAGGGAATATTTGGCCTTAAGTATCAAGCCCGTGGATTTTTGAATACAGTTTATCATTTTTTCTTGAACATTTCAAAAACAAAGTAAGAAATCCATTTAATATTTTTTAAAGTATCTGTGTGAGTGTTTATTTGCATAGCTAAAATATAAAAATTTAAAGTGCACTTTATCATTTATTTATGTACCAAGTATGCGAGTTCTGTTTATTTGTAATGTCATATCTTTATAGCTTGTGTATAAAATAGATATAGTTGTCAAAATATAGTTTGATTCCAAGGTTAAGTGTAGATCATAAGAATTAAAATTTGAGGAAAATTTTATGCATTTGATGAAAGTTTTAAGCTGATATTGGTTATATTATTGCATGAACAGGTAATTTATGTGGTTAGATTAATATATTTTATGCAGTAGTAATGTTCAAGAAAGTAATGCATGTATCTAAATTATAGCTTTACAAGTTGAACAATCAATCAAGTTGAGACTTACAAATTGAACAATTAATGTCTGTAAAAGTAGAAGGTACTTCAGGAACCAAGTATGGTTACTTGAGATGATAGTGTAACATAGTGTGACATCTGTTACGCTGAAAGTGAGGCCATCATTAGTTAAAAAAATGAAGTTCAATGCAATAGTTAGTATAAATAAGCGAAGCTTTTATTGCTGAGTGCAGTTTTATTGAAACTAAATGCAGTATTATCAGACCATTGTTGTTATAGTGATAAAGTTGGTAGAAGGCTGTTTGTTATTAGTAACTTTGTTGTAGAAATTCTACTGTGAATATTTGGAAGATATGAAAGGGAACATGAGACTAGGGATATATTGATAAAAAATTATCAACATATACGGAGCTGAATCCTGAAATAGCAGTCTCAGTAGTAATACAAATATGACTTTTTTTTCTTTTTAGGTAATGACCTGCTGTGTGAAAGCTGTTCAAGAAAGGTCATTGTTATTCATTAGCACAAAATCAGTAACTACCGCATTTCTGAATGAAGGAGTTAGTTTGTAGGACAGCACATCAGAATGGATTTGTTGTTGTAGAGAAATATATTTATTAAATGCTTAGGAAATTGTTTGGATTAAAATCTCCCTACAATTAATTAAAATTTCCCCAGCGTACATTTAAAAATCCATTCTCCAGAATTTTCTCAAAAAATTGTTGGATGAGATCAGATTCCAGATTTAATCTCCATTGAAATGTTTTGAAAATTTATATATAATATGATAAATATAATCTCATTTTTATAATTTTACATCTAATTTTCTGAGATCTTTCTCTTAGGAGACTTGTATGAGATATAATGGATGTGTCTAGTGTGAGTGTAATTTTCATAATGCATGCTTATTTTGAAGAGAAATATTGCTGTGTCTGTATATTTTGAGAGATCTAAAGCTAACTATCATGTTGTATAGATTCTGTGTCAATTTTTTTTCTGTACCAGAAATGAACTGTTCTCATTGTTGAGACTAAGAGAGCTAGAGACAGTCTTCAGGTAATTTGACTTGAATGAAAATAATTCTATTTCTGATTTGTAATGCTACATTAAGTCCTATCAAATTATCAACTTGTTATGATACTCTGCTGTGCTTTTCTGGTTCTTCTTACTGAAGGCTCTAAACAGAGTAATATTAGAGATTGATCTCCTATTAAATTTAATGTACTTTTATTTTTGCAACAAATCATAATAATAAAACACTACAAGTAAAATAAAAATAATGGTGGTTTAAAATTATTACTGAATAAGCTTTTTATTTGAAGGTGAAATCTATTCTTTTTATCATTTTACAAATGATTATCATTAGTAGTAGTAGCTTCTATAAAAAATGTTTCCTAATTATCAACCTTTGCTGATCATGATGGATAGTAGAGTGGTTTAAATCTCAAACTGTATAATGATCTGTGTCTATTTTATCTCAGGCCAGAAAATTTCTTGTAATAATGTTCGATAATCATGTATGCAATCAACTGTTTTTATTTAGTTATTTATTAGGAGGTGCTACTAAAATACTGTTTTTCAATTCAAACATGCAATAAAATAGCAGGAAAAAGAAATGAATAGCTCAATAACCTATTATTTGATTTATGCTATCTAAAAATAAGCAATTAACTAAAAGTGATAATCATATACTACCTGATTATCTAATATTCTGCATCTGTGTAATTTCTTTCTAGTTTATTTTTCCTTACATAAAAATGAAATTATAAATTCCTCTTGCTTCCAAACCATGTTGAATGTGATAACAATGTAAATTTCCTTTCAGTTAATAAATCTAAATACTTTTCACCTCTTTACTTGAAAACTTTACATTTTGTTTTACCAATTAGTCATCTAAAATAGCCATCAGCCTTGCACCACTAGAAGGGCTAGAAGTTGTGGCCATTTCATTAAAGTACCTAGTAGATAGCCACTGTTACCTCTTGTGAAGGGACAGGCAGTTACAACCATACCTTCTCTGGGATTCGAACCTGGGCCCATCTGTATGGTAGTTAGGATCACTAACCACTATACCGGCTGGGCAGCACAAGTCTGCTATAGATTTATTTAATAAACTGAAATAAAAAAAAATATCGTAATATGCATTTCATAGCACATCTCTTTTCAGCATCTTAATTATTTGATTTTTTCCCCTTCTAGTTTATACGATATGACCATGGGAATAACATCTGTTTTTATGCTATTACTTTTGAGAGTAAGTTGTCTCTTTTTTGAACTAACAAGTAATCACAAACTTTAAAAACATTTTTGGTTCTACTTTAGCTTGCAGATAATATATTTATAAAATTTATAATAAACATTAACAGAATAATTTAATGCTTACAGAAGTTTAGTAAACATCATTAGAACTAGTTCTAGAAATTTTTTCTTGTCATTTTAGATATCTGGATTACAACTACAAAAGCTTGAAGTGTTAGTAGTAAAATACTGAATTCTGCAGCACGTGTCTCCTTCCCATCTGAAAATCTAAATCCAATAAATGAGATTTAATTATTCATATTAACATATTTGCCTTTATTTAAATACTTCATTTTATGGCTATGATGTTACATTTAAGTAAATGTATGCATATATTATTTGCAATAATTTAGTATAAATGAAGTTTTTTGATTATTGTCATATAAATAAAACCAATCTATTGAATTAGCATTATGCTATGAATAAAAAAAAAAAAAACTTAATAGAATGTTGTTGCCTTTGTGTGTTTGGCAGCAAAAAAGGTATTGGACAGAAGTAATTCCTGTTAATACACTCTGTTCACAAAAAATATATGCACCCAGAAGAAATCAAGCCACAATCACAAAACTAGGCAGGATTGTAGTCTGGTAAGAAATATGCAAATGATTTAAATTTAAGCCAATAAGACAAGGGTATGCTCATTATGCACATAAGAGATGTGCAGTTGGGAGAGTATAAAAGCATGATTACTCATGCCATAAGGCTATTCATATGAATTTGTTGTCTTTGATGGATGGTATTGTGACTAGAGATGCCTCTGAGACTTAAGCGGCAGCAGTACGAACAGTTGTTGGAGAAAGGGCGTATAGTAGGCCTCAGAGAAGCAGGTTGGTCGAACGGACATATTGGCCGCTATTTTGGTAGGAATGATATGGTAGTTGCTCAATGTTGGCTACAATGATTCATACAAAGAATAATCTACTGTCACGGAGGGTTAGCGCATCCCAGGAACACAAATGAGCATAAGGGTCATGCAGTCATAAGAGTGGCCACTTCTGCATCAATAACGTTGCTAGCATCGATTCGACATCACTTACCACCTTCAAGGGTGCTGATTACACAAGTTGTGACAGTGTGGGGGAGCAATTTGTTGGGACACGCAATCACCTCTAGTCATCCTTCAAGGCTCTATGATGGCTTGCAGTTTTGTGGATGCATTTTAACACCAATTGTACTGCCTATGTTATCAAGTCGCCGAGGTGCCATTTATCAGCAAGACAATGATCGTAGTCTGGTAAAAAATATGCAAATGATTTAAATTTAAGCCAATAAGACAAGGGTATGCTCATTATGCACATAAGAGATGTGCAGTTGGGAGAGTATAAAAGCATGATTACTCATGCCATAAGGCTATTCATATGAATTTGTTGTCTTTGATGGATGGTATTGTGACTAGAGATGCCTCTGAGACTTAAGCGGCAGCAGTACGAACAGTTGTTGGAGAAAGGGCGTATAGTAGGCCTCAGAGAAGCAGGTTGGTCGAACGGACATATTGCCGCTATTTTGGTAGGAATGATATGGTAGTTGCTCAATGTTGGCTACAATGATTCATACAAAGAATAATCTACTGTCACGGAGGTTAGCGCATCCCAGGAACACAAATGAGCATAAGGGTCATGCAGTCATAAGAGTGGCCACTTCTGCATCAATAACGTTGCTAGCATCGATTCGACATCACTTACCACCTTCAAGGGTGCTGATTACACAAGTTGTGACAGTGTGGGGGAGCAATTTGTTTGGACACGCAATCACCTCTAGTCATCCTTCAAGGCTCTATGATGGCTTGCAGTTTTGTGGATGCATTTTAACACCAATTGTACTGCCTATGTTATCAAGTCGCCGAGGTGCCATTTATCAGCAAGACAACACTTGTCCATGTACTGTGCCCCAACAGCATCTTGAAGGATATAACGTACTGCCTTGGCTTGCCAGGTCAGCAGACCTCTCACCAATAAAGCATGTTTGGGAAATGCTTGTAAGGCATCTGCAGCCATTCTGGAGTATTGGTGAATTAACTGTCCAGTTACAGGGATTATGGCATGATCTTCTGCAGCAGGTCATAGGTGACCTACCTGACTAGATGCCACGCCATGTTTCAGCTTGTATAGCTGCCAGAGGTGGCTCTACTACTTACTGATTTGTAATCTTTTTCATGCCATAATTTCTTAATAAAATAATCTTTTATACTGAATTTGCAACCATTTGTTTATCTCCTGACACATTACATACATGTTAAATTTTGTAGTAATTTGTTTCCTTCTAATTGCATATATTTTTTTATGACAGTGTGTAATGTTCTGATTGAATGCCTTATTTGCCATGCGATTGGTGCAACATGTTAGATTTTATACTTTGAAGCTCAATAAATAGTATAGTCTGATATATTAGATTTGATTGAAGCTTAATATAGATGTACGAAGAAAAATATTAGAATTCGTAAACATCTCTATGAACATATTTTATCAATAGAAATACTAATTTTGTATATTTTATTTTAGAAATTTAAAGATAAGAAGTGTACTACATGCATGTGGTTGTTAAATTCACGAACTCTGCAAGCTGCTTGGTGGTCTATTGCAACTGGTAATATCACTCAGATGAATTGATTATAATTGATTATAACAGAAGTGTTATAAATGTTCAATAATATAAAAATAATTTTCCAGCTCGAAATGCTCTTTTGGTAATCATATGCTCATTTCTTGCATCGGTTTGTTTATCCCTGGGGTTTGATGTGCTTACCCTTACTCAACATGTGGATGCTGGCCTTCCACATTTCCAGTTACCTAAATTTTATCTGAACTATTTTGACCCTACACTGAATAAAACTATGTGCAAAACTTCTGTGGAAGTTTTTCAGGTAAGCATATTTTGAGAATATTTATTATTATCTTAATGTATAGCATGCTTTTTGTAAAAAAGTGTCTAATTTTATAATGGCATAAGAAAATTTATAGGTAGAACAATTTTTATTACTGCACAAATGCAGACTAACATTTGAAATTTCAACTAGATTTAGTACTTCTGGATCTTGGAGCAACATGTTCACCAAAATTCTGCCAAAAGAATGCCAATCTAAACAGCAAATTTTGTAACTGCCTTCAAAGATAATTCCGGAACAGTTTCCTAAGCGTCTCTCTATACTTCCACTGCATAAATTCAAATGAACAAAACAGGATTCTAAACAAATGGGGTTGAAATAACAAAACAGTGTTCATAGAAATAAAAAAGGGTTTCAAATGGCATATATTGCAAAAGTATTTTGGCATTTATTCTAAAAACGTCAATCTGTGAGCACTGTCCTGTTCCATAGCATGTGCTTTTGAATATCCATTTTTTAGGTAAGATCTTTCCATCATTGATTTTTATATGTATAAATACTTTATCAGTTTATTTATCAGTATTTTTTTAGTTTATTTATCAGTACTTTATCAGTTTATTTTTATTTTATTGGGTCCTCCAATTTGGCCTTTAAGCACTTTGTGCCCTAAATGCAGTGCAGCCCTAAATTCTGAAAATTTTACAGTTTGATGTTGCCACACCAGTTGCATCAGCTTTGATGTTGGCTGTGCATTTGACCAGATATGTTGAGTAAGTATTCCAGTCAGCAGTTCTATTACAAATACAGTAAAAGCCCAACTATATCCAACATTCAACTAACCAAAAAGCTCGATTAATAACTGGAATGTTTCAAAATTTTTTCTTCCAGAAAATTTAGTAAGATAGAGATTTTGTGATGCCACTGTAGAGCTTGTTAGACTATTAATGCAAGTACATTGTGCCAGACTGTGTGATTAAGCATTAATAATGGATAAGCATGACATCTCACCACAATCATATTCATTTTGGTTAATGTAGTTCGATTAATTCTTGATAAGCCAGTTTAATTTTTGTAAAGAAGAATATAAGTTCTATTTTTTCCTTCCATTTTGAAAAATGATTAATATTTGTGACAGTAAGCAGTGGAGATTTTCACCATGTTTCATGACTTTAATAAAAACAGAGATACAATGGCAGTGTAAAAGGAAAAGCTATGATAAGCTATTTTAAGTTTTTTTTAATCCATAATTTGTTTCTGTTTATTATCTAATGAAATAAAGAATGATTTTTTGTTTAAACTTCTTCCGGAATGATTGGCAACATCTCTGCTAACTTTCATGCTTGGAAGAATTTCATAATTTGGCCAGGCATTTTACTTTCATTTTTAGGGCCTACGAAATGCTGCTTTATAAAAATGTGTTCTCGTTTTAAATGTAGGCCTTTGATATTCGAGTTCTTTACAAATACAATGATTGTTTTCATAATTTTAAAAATGAAAATATTTCATTCATTGGGTGTTTCTAATGTGAATTCCATATACTTAACTATCCAGAAGTTTCATGTAACCGGAATTTGGTATCTTCTGATCTTTCTGGATAGTCTCGTTACTACTGTGTATGATTATTTCTCATATATCTTGATGACTATTATAGATGCTCTTCTTTTTTAGGGACTGTTTACTTCTATAGTGCTATATAAGTTTGTTGAAAGTTTTATTTCATAATTATTCTCAGAATCTAGTGCAAAGTAGAATTTTTATTAATTTCATTTTGCATTTTGCGTCGGTTCACTTTTCAAATTGTTGCCGCCTAATATTAATTTAAAAAAAGGTGGAATATCACTATGGAGAATTATGTATAAAAAACTGACACGTAAAAGATAAGAGCAAAATCATGCCTACGTATTTTGTCACCTAAAACAAAGAGCTTGCACATGCTTGTATTTACAACACATGTAACACAAGCTTGTATTTACAATGAAATTAATTATATTTGTACAGTACATTTTTCACATTCATCAAAAGTAACTATTTTAAATCATAGTAATATTTTTATCATAGCCTATTCAGAAAAATTATATAAAAATTTATAATTTTTAAATAAAAAATTTTGACTTTTTTTTGATAATAATAAATAATTCTGGAATAGTCTAAATGTTAAAATTCTTATTAATGTAAAAAATGTTGTTGCTAATATTGAAATATTTTTTTATATATTTACTTTTTTAATGAAGCAAAACAAATCAGTAAATTTTTTTCAAAACGTATCTGATTATTTCGTGTTCTGTATAAGAAATATTTGAAAATAATATTATTATGGTATTTTGAATATGATTGAAAATTTTTATTATGAAGATTATTATAAAGTTTTTATTTTAAAGTTTGAAAGTTTTATTATCTATCTAAAGATATTTGAAATCCTTTATACTATTAGTAGAAGTAACTAGTGAGTTGTTAAAGTATTCTTAATGCGATTCCCAATATATGATTAAACTATACTATATTTGTGAATTTTATTTTGGAAGGGCACCAGTGACAAATGGTATAGTTGCTGAACGCTGATAGTTCAGTCTTTGGTTCGAGTCCTGGCTAACAGGCTGGCTGCATGGGCATTTTCATGAATATCTCCATGTGTAATTTGTGGAGCCAGTTTTCTTTAGAAAATCCTCGAAGACATTCCTCTCCTTAGGCAGATAGCCCTTGATTGCTGTGTCATAATCAAGCCAAACCTGCATATTATTTTTGAAAAATTGAGCTTGCAGAAATTACTAGTTTTAAGGTTAGAAATTTCTGTGAAATTTTGAAATTATTATCAGTTGGATATTTGTTACAAAGTTTTTTTTTTTTTTTTTTTTTGTGCAAAGTTATAAATTCCTTCTTCTGCAGAGTTGTAAAGTTCTTTTAATCTATTTTAAACCTAGTGGCATTCATTTTTCATCAATTAGAAAATGAAATTTGAGTATATGCTTTAATTTTTCACATTATCTTTGTTCTTATGATTAAAGTGTCTTATCATTTTTCACTTCTACTATGAAAAAATATTTTTTTGAAAATTAGTTCTTTTTAATGTCTAATGGCCAGGTATTTGTAAGTAAATAATGTTATCTTATTAAATTATTCTTGACTGTCTGTGTTATTACCATTTATTTCTTTTCAAGTTCCATTGATATATTTATCTTCAAAGCTAAATTTTCACATTTCTTGAGAATATTTTCTTTTATCTACTGTAAATAATATAATTATCCCTCTATTATGTTTATTTAAGTCAGTCTGGCCAAGATTATAATAGCTAACTGCCTAAGAAAGTATATACCTTCATGGAGGACTCTCTAAGGAGAACTGAGCCACATTTACATTAAACATAAAAAAACCCCGCTAAATCACCTAAGTAGCCATTTCATTCGCTGGGTTTCTAAGCCAAATTAATTACTGTGCAGCTTTATGTACCTAAGTAGCCATTTCATTTGCTGGGTTTCTAAACCAAATTAATTGCTGTGCAGCTTTATGTATCATATCATTAATAAATAAGTTTTTGATTTTGAAACATTATTTACCTTCTTTGTTTCTTGAATATTAAATTCAATGCAGATAACATACATATAAATTTTAAGCTGTTGTGCTTTATGATGTTATTATTTTTAGCCTATTGTAATGATATATCATTTGACGCTTTATATAAATCTGATGTATTAATATAAATGTTAAGTAAAAATGACAAGTTGAAAATTACATAAAATATGAGATATGGATTCTTTTATCTTAATTTAAATGTTAAATAATAACATACCATCATTAATAAATAAGTTTTTAATTTGTTTTGGTTAACTGATTGAAGCAAAGCAGTAAGGGCTATCTGTTTAAGAGGGAAAAAGCATTCAGAGAGACTTTCTAATGAAAACTAGCTTGTATTCACATTACATGTAGGGAGGAATGGAAGCATTCATGCAGCCCACTCATTTGCCAAGATTTGAGCCTAGGGTGGACTACCAGTAAGCTTATCCTTTCAGCCACTTGTGAGCACTTATGGGAAGTCTCTGATTTGAAATATTTTTCTGAGATCTTTAGTTATTACAAATGAATGAAAGTTCAAATTTTAATGGAAATATTAACTGAATATTTTTGTAATATTTTATTTTATTAATCATTAAGTTATTTTAATAAATTAATGTTTAATTTTCTACCATTAGTATTGGTTGTAGGATTTTTATTTCCTTTGGTGTTACAGATACTGTCATAAACAGTCAAAAGTCGTTAATTCGGACACCCATAATCCGGAATGATCTATAATCCGGACCTCAAAGCTACAAACTTTCTGCGCATGCTTCGCGTTGATGCATGCACATAAGATCTTTACGGCTACGAATATGCTAGTGCGCGTGCCCAAAATACGTTTACGAGTGCGCGTTTAATGTATAACGGACGGTATAAGCTAAGCTAAAATTATCTAATTATCTATTTCAGTTAATGTTGCAGATTGCATTGTTCCTTAATCTTCGAATTGGATCCAGCTTATTATTTTTTGCAGACTGTTAGAGCAATTTTATAAAAGTAAGCTTGAACTTTCGATTATGTCAAATAGAATTTCTGATATATATTCACTAATATGTAAAGGATCTACAAAGCGAAAGTATGTTTCAAAGTTCATTAAACAAAAAGCGGAATTGCTGCAAAAAAGGGATAAAGGCATATCCTTTGTTTATCTAAACTTTAACGTTTGTTTATCTAAACTTTGTTTATCTTTAACGCCGCAGCCGCACAATGAATTGGAAGTTGATCTGTCAGCACTATCCTTATCTTCAGGGCAGATATTTTTATTTTATTTGGCTTATAATTCCTTACTAAATGTAGTATTTCATCTCCATGTACTCCGTCTTTGATATGATTTAAATCAAATTCCTTGTCATTATAATTCACTTCCGATAGCGAAGAAAGTAACGAAAAAATTTTGACTGACAAATTAGTCGGTAGACACAGCAATTATAGGACTTGAACAGCGGAACTTTGTAACTGAACAAGAAATTATGTCTGTTTATAGAATTAAAGAGAATGTATTATCACATAAAAAATGAAGCAACTTAAACAACTTACATTGAAAGAAATGTTTAATAAAGTAAACAAATAAATATTAAGCTTTTTTTTGTAAATTTTGATACCCTTTAGATCTACGGTTTCATATTTTTAATTTTATAATTTCTGCATGCCATCTTTCCATCTATAATCCGGAATCGCCGAAATCCCGACGAGTCCGGATTAATGACTTTTGACTGTATATATATTTGAATAGTAATCTTAAAATCAATTAGAATGGCTTTCCCAAATTCCTTCTCAACAAAATTCAAAATTTTAAATCACCATTATTTCACTAAAAGTAAATTAATTACCATTTTAATTTTTTCCCTATAATTAATAGAACAAGTCAGAAAAATAAAAGATGTGCTACTTAATTTCTTTAATTCCAGTTTTAGCACAAAATGAAACTTAGGTGTCGATTTGTTTAGCAATAATTATAGCTCTTCAACAAATAACTGTGAATGAAACCAACTGCACAAATTTTCAGGAAATTAAAAAAATATATATTATAAAAGAACAAAAATTCAAACTATGTACTTCATTCAATAGTGAACTTAGAAATTGTATTCCTTGTTTGAATGGATGGGGTTGTCCACTTTAATGGCCATGTCTTTTCCCCCCATTTTACAGGTTGAAAAGTGGGGTGAAATATCAAATTTGATGTCCCTGGGTTTTCAACCACTTATCTCTTTCAAAGATCTCCCTTTTGCGACATAGATGCACCCCTCTGAGAATCCATTAAACTACACAAGAATCTATCATTAAACTACACAAGAATCTTTGTTGCAAATAGGAGGTGATTTCTTAAAAAGGGGAAAGCATTCGGTTCAAGATTTCCCATCTTTTGGTAGCTTTTACTGCTACCAAAGCCCCAACCTCAAAAGGTTAATATCCTAATGCCATTCCACCGAATTTGTGAGTGCTATGTCTGCTGGAGCAAAAGTTAGAGGCAACTACTGCCTTGTCCACATTCAGTTCTTGGACTTTAATTCTTGTTATGTTCTAGGATAATTTAGGTTAAAGAGAGACAGAAGAGAAGTACTGATGTGAGCAGCAGGATCTTTCGTATGGTGCCATCTATACAGCTCAATTTTGCTAATATAAATCAATCCAAAATATATGTTAGTGTTTGAAAACAGCATACATAGTGTTGTGACACCACAACACTTTTCAGATGTAAATTTAGAGATACTAACCTGACTGAGAAGATAGCTGTGAATCAGAGAATCAGACAGGTATTCATATAGGCACTGATTGGGAAAGACTATAAAAAATGTAATATTTTTAATTTATCGTAAATAATGCTGATAAAGTTTTGTTATTTTAAACATAACTTTTTAAATGGTGCTTCTTGATGTGTTTCAGAGTTGAAAGTTAGCCGCTATTATTTTTTAATGCATTTTTAGATCTTATCTGTAAAAATTTTTTTTGTTCTCAGCAGTGAAAAACCTCTGTTATACATCATCAGTTATATCATCAAAACTTCTCTTATATCATCTTTATTTATAGCCATTTCTGCACATTTCTTCACAAATTTCATTAATTGAAAATTTTAGCGTTTTGTTTGCAATATCTGAAAACCTTCAAATTCATAGCTATCGTCATAAAGTTAGCTTGTGTCTGCTTTACAATATTGGTTATGTATCATGAGTTTAGGGAATATAGGCATGTTGTTCGCTTAATTTATTCTTGCTTCTGTTATGCACTAAAAAAGTTAGAACTGAATTACATTAGTTATTTATTATACTTATGCCTATTAACTACATGTGCTTAGGTATATCTTATGCCCAAATAAATAAGTTCCCACAAATACTTAAGGTTTATCTAAACAGTGAATCAGTTATTAATTCAAGCAGCACAAAATTTAATCTTTTAGCCTGTGACTATCATTTACAAAATCTATTTTTTGTATATGGAAAGAAATTTTTTGTAAAATTTCTCCTTGTCAGCACACTCAATACTTGACAGTGCAGTTAGTTGTAATCATTGGCAAGTGTAATATCAACATGAAAGGCTATCATGATCTTTGGTATTCAGTTATTAATATTTAAAAAAAAAGTTTAGATATTGCTACACAAGTCATTTCTCAAGCTTCCATGTGTTGATAGTTATGTCATGCTGAAAGCAAAAAGTAATAAATAATTTGCAAGGTTGATGTCAAGGATATAAGTAATTTAGTACATGTAAAATCAACTTGCAACATAATGTATTCAACTTGACCCGATTTGAAATCAACAGTGTTTTAATGTAGAATGTTTTGGTTTGAGATGAATGCCAAACAGAAAGGGTGACTATGAAGGCAAATTATCGATTATTTAGATTTATGCTAAAAAAATTATTGTTTATTCAAGATGGAAGTATTTTATTTAGTCTGGGGATGAAATTAAGATTCAGGACTCGCCATATGTTTTATCATGAAAGAATATCAAATATGCATACATGCATAAAGCATAAAAAAAATATCTAATGAAAAAGGAATTGCTGGTGATCTGGAGGTCCAGACATCGAACATCCAGATTTCACACTTTGTAACTATATAATGAGACTTCAACAGTGAAGTGCAGCTCATTGATATTGGCTAGTGATGCTTATGCTTGCATATGAGCTTTTGAGAGGATTTCATTTCATTCTCATTGGTTTCATATATGAAGTAATGGTAAGTGGTTAGAGGCAGTAGGTAACTTATATCTCTCAGATAACGAGGAAGTGCTCCATCTTAGTTGCATTATGATTCTTAGTATTTGTACATCTTCTGAGTTATTTTTTTGTTCTGGCAAAGCTGTATGCTGCCATTTGGAAAAAAGTTATATTTGTCCCTACTGTGTAATTTCTCTTCTGAAATTTCAAATATTGCAGTACTGATTATTGAAAAAAATGTGATATATCTAATATCTATAGTCTATAATTTTATATTTTTGTAAGTCAGATTACTACAAATGCAATAAATATTTGTATTCCCATTAATACTGTTCACATAAATTTTATTTGATCATTATATACAGGATCTTGGTACTGGTGTGATAGTTATTCCTTTCTTATCGCTTCTAGAAGCAGTTGCCATTGCTAAAACTTTCAGTAAGTTGAATTCCTATTATTTATTTTATAATGACATGCAGTACCTGCCACTTTTTAAAATCACTGGCTAATAAGCTCAACCATTATGTTAAAATTTCCAGGAACCAAAACAAATATATTCTAATCAATAAAAAATCTGCCATTTATTAAACTTGTCTCTCTGCCATAAAAACTCAGACCGGCCAAATACTCATTCTTCACATCCCCCCCCAAAAAACTGTTTGTAGCTGATAAAATCTGTTTGCATCTGTCATTCATTTATCATTCTGTTATATAGTGCTTCAGTCAAATTCTGTTATATAGTCTTCATTCTGTTATATAGTTCAGCAGAAATTTCAGCTAGTGTATTTATAACCATGACCTCCCTGGGGGTATTGGGTACCCCAAAGGTGCTCTACATGAACCTGATTTCCCTTATCAGACACCAGCTGATAAGGAATGGAATTGCATGCACAGCTAAAGTTTGCAGGATATTCCATAGGAATTTCATGAAATGCTTTCTTGCATTGGCATGCATTATCAGTCTTTGATTGGAAAACAGGAGTTGTCATTTTAAACTGACAAAAAAAGGAAAAGAAAGCATTGATTATGGCTATAATAGCTATGAAGTAACTGATGGACGTGACAGGCAAAGTGCATCTTCCTGCTGACTAGAAACGAGAATTTTGGATTTGAATTAATCATCAGAAGAAAAATTTTTCATTTCCGGTGTGCATGATTTATAACATGTCCAAAATGCCTAAATAAAGTTATTTAAACCCAAAAAAGAAGGATAAATTGTGAAAGTTTATGATATACTCGGTAAATTCAGCCAAAGAAAAACAGAATTTGAATCAAATTCTCCCAACAGCATTGTGCACTTTTACTTAAACAAAGGAATAGAATTGATAAAGAACTAGTAAAAAGGAAAATGTCTCATGGGAGAGCAAAAGGGATGGAAATCGAGAGATGTTGAAACTGCTCTTCTAGAACGGTTTCAAGCTATGAGGCTAAAAAAATTTCTAATTTATAGAGCTCTTCTGACCACAAAAGACTGTAGAATTTTCAAAAATTGTGGGAGAAAATTTAGTGCCAACTGATGGATAACTCACAAAATGGAAAGAGAGAAATAACCTTGTTTATCAGAAGCTATATGGTGAAAAACAAGGGCAAATCATTGTTCTGCTGAGAACTGGATAAAAGACATTTTCCAGGCTGCTAAAAGAATACAAGCCCACAAAATTTATGCAAACTGGTCTGTTTACTTAAATTTCATGTGGTAGATTTAACTAGTCTGTTTTGCAGAACATTACTGGAGCACACAGTAGTGTTTAAAAGTGAAACAGCAGCTAGTTTTAAGAAATTAAAAGAATGAGTTACTGTGTTATTAACATGCCATATGGATGCAACAATTAAAAGACACCATTGGTTGTTGGAAAAAGTAGAAAATCTCATTGTTTAAAAGGAGTCAAGAATTTGCTTTCAACTTTTCATAATAACAAGATCTCTTGGGTGTCAAGTAGTATTTTTATTGTGATTTCTATTTGAAATGGGACAGAAAACTAAGAAATAAAAAAAAGTTTTATTGTTAGACTAGGCATATCCTTCTGATACCGTTTTGAAAAACATTAAATTAATATTTCTTCTTGCAAATATGACTTAATCACTCAGCCTTTAACCAAGGTATTATACAAGCTTTCAAATGTCGTTATAGAAAGGGGTTATTCGAACAAAAAAGAAAACGAGGCAAATAAAATTGAATATTGTGAAAATGCAAAGGTGATAAGTTGATATCTTTGCCAGAAGTTGTATATATTATATCAACACAAGAGAAGCAGTCAGTCTCCCAAAACACAGCTAGAAATAGCTTTAGAAAATGTGGTTTTTATTTAGAAGAAACCACAGAATTGCAAGCTATTTATAATACTTTGGACAAGAGTGAAGTAAATTCTGATTATTGTTTTAGAATATGTTGCAATGGATGATAATATTGAAACAACCTGTGAAAATTCTGACTATGATGTTATACAACCTACGGCATGTTTCAAAAAGAATATACATATTTCAAATGCATATATTTATTAAACTGTATGAAATATGAATATAAAACTTTACACTTATGTATGAACCTCTCAAGTTCGGATTACAGATGTTCAATATGTCCTCCATCAGCGACACGAACAATATCACATCGATACTCAAATTCCTCCCATACTCAGGCAAGCATGTCCGTTGTCACTGATGTTATGACAGTAAAGATCCTGTTCTTCACCTCTTCCAGATTCTGTGGGAGTGGTGGTACATAAACGTTGTCTTTAATGAAACCCTACAGGAAGAAGTCACAGGGTGTCAAATTTGGTGACCGTGGAGGCCAACTGAGACATTCTAAGTCGCCAGCTCCTTGACGACCAATCTAGCGGTTCAGTAGTGTTTCATTCAGATAATCACGCACTTGGCGACACCAGTAAGGGGAGCCCCATCTTGTTGAAAAATGAAGTTATCTTTGTGCAGCCTTGGAAACAACCAGTTTTGTAATATAGCGAGATACTGATGACCGTTAACCATGTTTCCATCTAAGAAGAATGGGCTGTAAACAGATGATCGGGATACTGCACAAAACACATTGATTTTGGGTGAATCTCGTACATGTTCAATGGCTGCATGTGGGTTGTGTAAGCCCCAAACACAATGTGTTTGATTACATGACCACTAACATGAAAAGTCGCTTCATCACTGAATATGATGCGTTGTGCGAAAGTGTTATCATTGTCAGTAGCATCAATATATCTCGTTACAAAATGCCACATGTTTGCATTTGTCATCAGGATGCAGAGCCTGTGACAAATGTAACTTGTATGGCTTCATAACCAACCAATGTCTCAAAAACATGCCAAACTGTTGTTGTAGGTAGTTATAACTCCCGGCTGGCATGATGAGTTGATTTTGAAGAACTATCATTAATTACATTATTGTTTTTGATTAATTACATATTGTTATTATTTACATATTGTTTGTATATGTTTGTATATGTTTTGTATATGTTATTAATTACATATTGTTTGAACTATCATTAATTACATTATTGTTGATTTTGAAGAACTATCATTAATTACATTGGCATGACGAGTTGATTTTGAAGAACTATCATTAATTTGAAGAACTATCATACATTAATTTTTAATTGGTAATTTAGGTATTAATTATTAGATTGTTAGCTACTTTCTTACCAAATAAATTCAAAGTTGATAACATAATTAAACAAAAATTAAATTGGAAAGCAGTTTGAATTCGTGCAATATTTTCGTCGGAAACACGAGGGTGGCCAGGACTCTTTCCTTTAGATACACATCCTGTATTTACAAACTGTCGATACCATCTGTGAATGTTCCACCCATTCGGAGGATCACTTTGGTACCTCAACTTGAAACATCTTTGCACTATAATCCCGGAATTGCACTTTGAAAACTCGAGAACACAAAATGAATTCTGCTCCGGAGTAGCCATTTTAAACATGTGATGGTTACCACGCAAAACAGAATATAATTGACATCTAGCAGCTAATAATATAAACTAGACTATGTATTCATTTCACCAATAGCTGAGCTGAGGTGCAGTGATCGATAGTTTGGACAAAGTAACACTATGTAATATGTATATTCTTTTTGAAACACGGTGTATTAAAAGAGCTGTAAAAAATGATGGGAAGAAACATGATGTAGAGACATGAAACTTTATATTGGAAGAAAGTGATTAATGCCAACCTCAGTTTAATCGAGCAAAGCACTGCAAATTAAAAGTATTCCTGAATTGAAAGGTGGAGATCAGGAAAGCTAACAACAGTTTTATGAACTTGATAATGCAATTGAAAGGCTGTTGATGAGCAATAGAAAACAAATACAAATAGAGCATTTCTTTGTAAAAGCTTAAAATTTCATCAAGTATATAATTATCAATGTTTTTTATAAAAAAAGTATAAAAACAAAAATTTAATTTCCAAATTTTGTAATTAGTTTAATTTTAACATTAATTTTTAATTGGTAATTTAGGTATTAATTATTAGATTGTTAGCTACTTTCTTACCAAATAAATTCAAAGTTGATAACATAATTTGCAGTATTTAAATCCCTCAATTAATCTCCAAATTACACTCAGCCATTTAATATACTCAAATTTGTTTGGAACAGAAGTGATTTTAATAAACGGCAGGTACTGTGTATTCAAATTTCATCTTGGATAAATGCACTTTAAAAACTGGAAAAGTATTCTAAAGTTTTATTAAATATAGAAGTACAGTGCAACACAATAATTAATTTAAAAATTAATTAAAAATAATTACTATGTATAAGTACAGTGATAAAAATACAGTGATGCATTGCATGATAGGCAACTTGCCCAAGAATATACTACATAACATATGCTCTCACCAGATGCAAAATATCACGCATAATGAATATGATCCCACATTATGATTAGTATGCATTACAAAGCTTGGCTTCTGAAGAAAGATACTATGTTGTAAGAAAAGAAAAAAGTGTAATTCAGTCCATAAAAAAATAACTTTCATCTCTGCAGCTAATGCAAATGAAGGTTTGAAATTGAAACATCTGGTAGTTAATCAGGTAGAGAATTTCAGAACTTTTAATAAACATACTATTTAATTAAAAGCTACCTGTTCTCTTGCATTAAAATGAAATTACATTTTGCATTTGGTGAGAGCATATGTTATGTAGTATATTTTTGGGCAAGTTGCCTACCATGCAATGGATCGCTGTATTTTTATCACTGTACTTAATTATAATATCTGTATTTATATATAGTAATCATTAAAATGAAATGCACGTATCATCAAATTAATTTTTAAAGATTGCATAATGGGAGGTCTTTTTGTGACAAAAACGTTAAATGGAAAGACACTTGCTACTAAAATCTGTACTGTTACTTGGTAATACATGTAACATTGCAAAAGAAATAGCAGAGGAAGTGGGTAAAAATATGATTTAGTGAAAATAAGCCCCACACAA